AGAAATAGCAAAATCAACCATTAAAATAATTGCTCCTTAAGAAAATTTAGGCGCTATTCATAAAAATGCGTGAACAGCCACCCTAAGAGGTAGATGATTTCCTTCAAAATGAAATAGGACCACTATGGAAGTACCCCCTTTCCAACAAAAAAAGTATCATGAAAATCGGTTCACAAATACCGCAATTCTCGCTTAACATACATACAAAAAAAACATACAATCGAATTGAGAACCTCTTCCTTTTTTAAAGTCGGCTAAAAGTGATCCCTGTGACATTTCGTCATTTCTCGGATTCCGAACTGATACGAATTGGACGTAGTGCGTAAACGCTCTTACTGTTTTTATTGTTGTGTTATTTTGTTAGTGGTTTAAGTTTATGTAAGCATGTTTGTTTTTATTCTTGAATATATTTCATGTTCATGTTCCATGTGCTTATAATTTCACAAGCACACTTATCCTTAAAAACCGGAACGCAGTAATGTCAGCATTACTGCTTGGCGACAGAAATAAATAAGGTGGCAGTGTGGCAGTACTTACCTGGAGGAACTCATTCACAAGAAGCTCTACTGCTACATATTATTATAATGATTTGGTATTTAAATTAGCCTTTAGCGACGTTGGCTTAGAGCTAGAACTCTTGGGCTACATGATGTTTTAGCAAAATTTTAAAACATCAACCGCATGCAATATAAATAAAAACTTTTTTAGACCAAAACATTACCTAGACCACATTAAGTTCCAACGCAATTCACGAAAATTATATCAAGAGAAAATACATCGGCTCCAAAATAATATTAGCCGAAACTACCTTTTTGCAATACGTGAGCCTTTCGTCTCTCTTACCTCATACAGGGCCGCTGTTTGGGTAAAGGGCCCCATGATGTGGGGACCCAGGCCCTCTTACATAATTTACGTACAGTTTTTTCTTTTTATGTAAAAATGGAGGTAACCCACAATAAAGTACAAATGGCGGACTTAATGCCATAAGGCATTCTCTACCAGTCAACCATTGGGCTAAACAGAAAAAAAAACACACTAGAAAGCTAATCGATAATTTGTGTGGTATAAATAAATAACATAATATAAACGTACATAATAAACTTACATATATATATATATATATATATGTGTACCCACAGCAACTTTATACAGAGTCTTGATTTTGACAATTGTCAAACGTGCTTGCGCAACATGCGCTTGACAGATAATTTGGTCTGAGCTTTTCTTACATGGAGCGGGAGCGCGTTCCAAAGACGGATTGCATGAAGGGTAAAAGAAGTAGACAAAAAAACAGTGGGGTGAAAAGGAATAGAGAGTTTAAGGCTACGAGAAGGTCGAAATTCGCATCCCGGCAGAGCGGTTTGAAATTGAAATGAAGCATTCAGGTTACGCGACTTCTTTCAACAAGTGCGCCGCAGTCACACGTATCGGTCCGGTACTCACCAGCCTAGCAACTGCAACATCACTATAAAATAAAAATATCTTATATATGTAATTTAGTCAACAGCTATTTGCCAATATATTTAAAAGTATAGACAGTCAATCGGTTTTATTATAAAAAACAATATTTTAAATGCTACTATTTTCAATAATCTCGTATAATGTTATTTTTGTCAAAAGTTGATGAAATTGTGTAGAAATAAACGATACATCAGTGTCAAGACTAAATTCTACTCCATGCCGCTTGCGATTAGAAAGGTCCAAAGTATCAAGCTTGATGACGATGTCCCCTGGACTGTAGATACTTAATAAAACAATTCACACAATAGAAGGCCACAAAAGTGTGAGTAGAGTCGGACCTGGGTTACCCTTACGGAGGGAAAAAAATAAAAATAATGCAGCCACTTAAAGGGTCGACGAAGGGCGACTGGTATAAAAAAAAGAAAAAGCTCTACTCCGCCACCTTTGTGTCAAAATGACCCTTTTTTCAACTTCGAATTATTGTAAGTATTAAGCGATGTCGTCTTCAAAATTATTAATATAAAGTTATTATATAAACACGTTCCGGGTGAAGGTAAGCTGCTAGAAAGTTCGAGCAATTATCACAACATGGCGCGTGTGTTAAGTCGGAGAAGCGATGAAACTGATATTAGGTGAGGGAATGAGCGCAAAAATTTTAAATAAAAGTTCGCTAACCATTTTTAAAGACTCTAAACAGTTATTTTCCATGGTAATGAGAATGAACGTTGTAATTTAAAATTTGTCTAGGGATTAAAAGGTAAATGCAATCGAAGTCAATTTCTCTATTTCATCTCGTTATGATGAAGATCTCTTGCTTATCATTCACCACTACACCGTTAGGGAATTCTAGATGCTTTGAACATCCGAATTTTTGCAGGACATTGCCGACTTGATAAAAAATTATGACGCGCGTCACCTTATATTCGACAACGACGATGCGTCCTTTGTTGTCCACTGTGACAACTCGCTATAGTATATTGGCACCGAATTTGCGTACGAATTGGCCGTACTGGTTATAAATCTGAATCTGGTGCGTCGGCGATCTCTCAGTCACGATAATGTCACCAGAGGTTCTAACTACGGCAACTCTGTTTGGGTAGAGAAGTTGTCCGTCTCGTTTACCGCATTCGCCGAATTGGAATTTAAAGCGACCCTCCTTGTCGAATATCTGGATGCGGTGGTTGTTGGTGTCAGCAACGATAATGTCGTTTTGTGCATTAACTGCAACGCCACTTGGCTCTGTAAATTGACCCTCCATCACGCCAAACTCAAAGAAACAACATTTCATGAAATGTCTGTATTTTTGCTTCACAGAGTCACGTATCATGTTGACGTGAAATCGGTTTAACCTGATCAAAAAGCTGCCCATCCATGCAAAAAAAGCAAATTTTTTCTCATATTGTCATTTTTTCTCATGGACATAAAGCAAGGACTTCAAGCTATAGACAAGAACATTTACAGCAACTTCATGTTCTAAACAAAACACTATCAATATTGATAGTATTTTGTTTCAGTGTTGAATTTTGTCACATTCGCTCTGGACCTTTTGGAGGGAAAAGTTTCGTTTTTATTTTGACTTTCAATTATTTTGTGAAATCTAGTTTAAAGTGGAATAGGATAGTGCTATTGTGCCTTAATCGCAGATTAAATCGCGAAATTATACGAATCTCGAACTAGAATACCCGTAGCGGCCCGTTTTAAGGAATCCCGAGTCAATCCAAGCATGCCGCCTCAAATTGCCTATCCTCTTTGTGGCGGCCATATGTACAGAAACATAAACTTCATGTTTAGGCTGATGGCTTTGCCAAAGCCTTAATAAATAAAAAAAAAATTAATTTTGTTAAAGAATATCGGTACCGTAGTAACGTGGACCGACGTGACAGTTTATACCTATTGGGAACGAGCTAGGCAGGCAGATAATATAGAGTGTTTACCTATGATATTTATCTATAGTTGGAGACACCAGCAATCCTATCCTTCAAAACCGGAACGCAGTAATGCTCATATTACTGTTTGGCGGCAGAAGTAGGCGCGGTGTCTTTACTTCCCTGGACGAACACTTGAAGCCCCTTTTATTAACTTGAATGTTTATCTACCACGGCAATTCCTATAGATTAGATAAAATAGGCACTATCTTTCTAACTTCTGAGTCATAAAGAAACATTCATTTTGTTTATATGCCATTAAAAGGAAGTAGGCATTTCGTTTTTTGGCATCAACAACGCGTTTCTTCCAAGAACAAATTAATTATTTTTACTTGTGTAAGAACGTAAATTGGGGTGCTTCCAAGACCTAGATTGAATTTATTGCGTCTATTGCTTTTTCATTGATTAATATTGTAATGTGCGCTTATATGTATTCAGGGTACGCAATCGTTTAGAAGAAAATAAAGCTTAGGTAAGCAGTCATTTACCTGAAGAATTGTTCCACGGCAACCACAACAACAGCTTTTTAAGGCTAATGAAATTTCCACGCTTCTAATGTCGTCACTTCTCGTACAAGTCACGCCCAGTTGTACTAGTGCCATAGAAGAATAGGATGTGTCGGTGATCGGAGGACCCATCCACAAAGCTTGACAGCGCCCTATGTCACGCTCCAAAGGATGGGCCCGCTTCCCGCGGGCCATCCGCCGAGAGGTCTCAATGGTATGTACAAGCGGATGTCGGCTCTCTAAGGCGGTGGAATTAACCGCTGGGTTTTAGTGGATTTAAGGGACTACCGCCTGGGAGTCCCACGTAAACGCTCGCTGCTTCCCAAAGCCGAGTGGTATGCGTAATGCAATTCCCAGTGTTCAAAAAAGTGCTGCTGACACTGTGTAACCTACACAATATATTTTATATAATTTTTTTTTTTATCTTAGGGCGGTTAATACTGAAAATGGTGGCTCGATTTTTGTGTCCAGAGGTGTAATTAACAATGCAAATAAATGTAAAAAAAACATTATTTTAGTTTTAATAAAAAATAGAACTATTTCCACATGTTTTACTGTGATATTAAAATACTTGAAAGGACTAAATGGATTTAACGTTTAACGTTTACGTTCTGTTAGTAATTATCATTGACTTACAAATAAATGGACGACGGGTCTAATACAAAAACCACGAAAAAAATGTCCCAAGTCAACCTATTCGAAATTTAAATTGTAATGTCATCGCAGTATCGCGCTGTCAGTCGAACAAATGAAGACTAAAGCGGAGTTTGGCGCTCTGTATACGATTTTAGCGCCTTGCAAGTGCGGACACTTTTTAGCGCGGACCCGACGTCCATATAATTGTAAGTCAATGGTAATTATGGATCAATTTCGCTCAAATTGATTTCGACTGTTGTCCCACCAGAGGCGTGACGCATTTTCTGCAATATTCTTACCAAAATGTATTGATAACACTCACTTATAATGAATCAGTTAGGTACTTGGAGACGCGACATAATGCTAGTCTCGCGATTCTATATCGGAACTCGCGCAAGTCGCGCCCTGTCGTGTTAGTGGTGCATGTACTAGGTGTGATTTTCTAATCTTTTAAATGTCCTTTTCTTTTCAGAAGATAGACGCGTACAACCACAGCGGGCCGTCGCTCCAGACCTCAGCAGTCATCGGACTCTGCTCCATTGTGTTAATCGTCGGCATTCTCATCGGAGCTATTCTTGTTTGGAAGTAAGTTACTTATTTCAAATTATTTCTTTACCAAGCTGTATAATGACTCGTTCTCCTGGGGTTACCCAGGTGGCGCTTCTGATATGTTTGCGGATGCACACACTGACTGTCTTTATGCTTTGCGTAAGCGGTGAGGACACTAGCCGAGTAGACAGGCCAGTGCCTTGCAAAGGCATTTAGGAATCGGTTCTATTAAATCCTCAAACAGAACGTGTTTATTTTTTGTTTTGTTCCATTGATTTTGTTTTATTTTATAATGTATGTGTTTTGGAAATGTATGAAATAGCAATATATAGCAGTTAGACACGGCGACTAATGATGTCTAGTCGTCTACCTTTACATATACGCAGCGATGCAAACGTTCACTAACGCGAATACAATATGGAAGTTGAAATATTAATTATAAAGAAAGCACAGTTTGATAGAAACCACAGGTAGCAGAGAATTATTTTTATGCGTGACACCAAAATAATCTTGCTTTTATACAAGGGGTCTTACCACAACCTCTTAAAATAATACTATTTGAACCTTACAATGACTTTTCATACCATGATGCGCTTAAAGTAAGCTTATTGTTTTATTGGCAGCTTTGTGAATTCACACTATGACACGTCTTTGACATTAAATAATCTTAAAATTGTTACTCGGACGCAGTGGAAATAATATTATTGTCGATTTTTTTGTTTAAATATTAATTGGTAATAATTAAAAGTCATGTTTAACTGATTTATTAACATTAGTGTCTTCAATATTTTGTTATTTATTAGTATATGGGAAATAATTTCTAATTAAATAAAAAGACGAGATGTTTCGTGACTTCCCGCGCTTTCATCGATGATTTATTTTTAAAAATTATGGCAGCGACACTAACGTTTGACACTAGACGAAGCGCTTTAGCGCACTGTATCCAATTCGTATTCGTTCCTTGTGCATTAAGTCCGATTCAATTCCGAGAAAAAACGAATATCGCTTGTACACCTAGAGATAAAATGATCCATGTGACATTTCGGACCGTCATTTATCGGATAATGACGGTCCGAAAATAAAATTTTGTTCGAATATTACTGATTTGACAGTAATTGTTTCGGACGGATGTCGGACGGAGATCGAAAGTAGATCCCCTGATGCGAATCAGACGTAGTGCGTAAACGCTCTAATTCCGAATTCACAATGTAACAATCAAGGCTCAGCTTATTTTATTTCTTTTTCGTCATAAAAGTGAGGGTAGAAATTCAATACAACGTAATTGTAATAGATTTGATTATATACTTTTTTTTTGGGAGTTAAAATTTTATTTATATACATATTTGAACATAATAGTAGATAGATAGATAGATAGATAAACACACTATTGCTCACACACAAGAACAAGAATAGTACATAAACAAATTAAAACTAATGTGGCCAAAGGCGGTCTTATCGCTAAGAGCGATCTCTTCCAGACAATCTGTGAGTTAGAGGAAAGCTAATCGGAGCGGGAGACGTAGTGTGCTAATTTTACAAATATAAAAAAAAAAACAAAATAAATAAATTAAATAAAGACACATAGTAATTTGTAAAATATTTAATAAATAATGATATATTATACTTACGTAAATATATGTATATATAAATATACCTAAATAAACTTATACTTACTAATACACACGTTGCAGACTAGGGCCGTGATAAAAGATATCTACGCAATCCGGTTTTGAAAATAGGTAGCGACTTAGAATGGCGGATTTCAAATGGGAGATCGTTCCACAATTTTGCAGCATTCATCGTAAAGGTATCTTTGTAATACTCAGAGCGAGTGAAAGGAGGCTTCAGTAGGTTATCCATTTTAGACCTTAGTTCACGGTTGTGATCATCCCCGAGGAAGCGAAAACGAATAAGGTATGGCGGAATACGAGTGTCGTATCGAACATTATAAAGAAAGCTGAGAACGTGCTCCTCACGGCGCAGTTTGATAGGGAGCCACTGAAGCGTTCTCCTAAATTCGGCCACATGATCGAACTTGCGCAATCCGTATATGAATCTGATGCAAAGATTCTGTAGACGCTGGAGTTTGCTTAACAGATCCTCATTAAGGTCAATAAAACAGACATCAGCGTAATCAAGAATAGGTAAGAGCAACGTATATAACGTACAACGTACCAGTAGTTTATGTAACTGTTACAGAATGAAAGGCATTAAAAATACGAGTGAGGATAGTTACCAAGAAGTCATAATCTGATGAGGGGATCCCATGGAAATCCAAAAAATACCGATAAGCAATTTCGAAGTCAGTTTTTTTCGCAATGCAAAAATTACAATTATTTAATATCACGATGCTACCATGATATTCTTAATTTTTGTTGTGAAAATTCTTAACTACTTTGTTATTATTATTGATACAAAAATCAAACCACGTTGAGGCGACAGACGCTGGTTCGGAAATCTAAGGAATTTTTCTTTATCTTTGTTTGATCTTTGCATCAATAATAAACCAAGAACAATTATTAAAATACACCTCTAAACTGTAAACATCCGTATTAAATCAATCGTAACCATTCAGGGATTATCTGAAAACTAAAGGTGACAATGCATTTGGCTGTGACAGCTTAATCGACTTTAAAACCGTCGTCACATAGTGAGCCAATCGCCCGGGAAAGTTGATTAGAACGCTGTCACCTATTCGAGATTTAATCCCTGGTTTAGGAAGTCCCAAAGTTAAAAGAGAACGCGATAAATCATAGAATTAATTCATTGAGTAATTTTATTTAGTAAGAAATGTATACTGATACATTTTATTAACCGACTTCAAAAAAAGGAGGAGATTCTCAATTCGACTGTAAGTTTTTTTTGTATGTATGTTACACGATAACTCCGGTATTTGTGAACCGATTTTCATGATTCTTTTTTTGTTAGAAAGAGGGTACCTCTATAGTGGTCCTATTTAATTTTGAAGAAATCATCCACCTCTAAGGGTAGCCACCCTTAGAGGTATTAATGAACAACCGTTCACGCATGAAGATTCATTTTTAATGATAGCGCCTAAATTTTTTTATAAGGAATAATTATTGTATTTTGCTATTATCCAATTCAAGGCGGTTTTCTCTCTCAATATACTTTGAGTAGTGAGAACCGATTTTTATTATCTCCCTAGTGTCAATTCGCGTATAGTGGCGAACTAGGGGATGAATCCGGGTTTGCGCACTTTCCGGTAACCGATTTCAATAAAACTTGGTAATTATGTAATTGGTAATGTTTCATTGTTCCACGTACTTTTGAGGTCGGTTTTTTTTAGTACTCTGTACTGAGGTTAGGTTATATTAAATAATTTTGATACAAAAATCGAACAAAAAAATTTCCTTCATTCCGACTGAACAAGAACCAGTGACTGTTGCCTCAACGTGGCTACAATGCCCTACATATTTCTACCGCCAAGCAGTAATATAAGCATTACTGCGTTCTGGTTTTGAAAGGTAACGGCGCTGGTGAAATTACATGGCACATGAGACTTATCAGCCTATGTGTCAGAGTGACAGGCGCAGTGACAGTGCCCCTCGGATCTTTGCGATTTAAAAGCTCTGAGTGGCACTGCAACTGTTATAGACAGGTGTGTAGCTTACCATCAGGCGCACGACTTGTTCGTTCCGTTACTTGATACTATAACAAATAAAAAAATAATAGAAAATGCATATTGTTAAAATATTTTGCAAATCGTATATACACATAACTTAAATTGAAATATGTTTTTTGATAAATTAAATGTAAGTTACTTAAATAAAAAAAGAAACAATAGTTCAGAGCAGGGTGGTTTGTTTGAATATTGGACATGACTTCTTCTTCTTCTTATTGTATACAAGGCATACAAAATACACTGTATTATAAATCAGAACGTAGCCACAATTAGTTGCTATGCTCAACTGCACGTGGGATATGTTTGCCATCGGTGTGAACGGATTTGTCAATCGGCGTAGGGTAATTGCAGATTGTTGCACAGGGTGTTCTAGACGTACTAGAAATACCATTGCGGGGAGACTCCCTTCGTGCACGTGATTGATGACCAATACTATCTCAATCAGTTGTGACCTGAGACGTGTAAGGAGCCCAAAATGTTAAAGAAAAGATAATATACGCAATATGGATCCAAAAAAGGGGCAAGAAGGGTAGATAGATAAACACTTTATAGCTCACAGACAAGAACAAAAATAGTACATAAACAACTTTAAACTAATGTGGTCAAAGATTTCAATTTCCAATGTATAACAACCACAAAAACCTAAGAACTACATAGGTATATAAACTAACCTGTCGGTTACTGTCGAGTAGGCTACTAGGTGCGTCAATGACGTTACTGTAGAATGCATACAGTGAGATTTCTCGTTATATAATTAGTAGTACAGGTAGTATAGTATAATTTCGAAAATTCACAAATCAAAGTTTATTATAATTACATATATAGATTAATGTCCGAATGCCATTAACGTATTTCCACAACATATAGACTTACAATTACGCAACACTAGTAAGAAAGAGAAATCTAAACAAACAATAAAAAAATTCAAATATAACAGCTACGGTATCATCACACGTCACATGATGTATCAAAGTGACGTTTAATCATCTCCCGCCTAATTGTGGCTTTGCACAGAACAAATCAAATTTAGAATGACCTTGTATTATTGAAGAATCTCATTATTTTCTGATGAGCTGACTCTCAAAAAGACGTCAGTCAAGTAATGTCTGCCATTACCATCGCGCACGCCAATGCAATAACGACATAATTGACAGACAAAATAAAAGATTCTCTACGCTCGCGAGTTTTATTTGTGCTCGTGCTAAGTCAGCTGGCAATGCTTACAATGGCGTTTTCTATAAACTTTGAAACCGTCGCAAATGCTAACGGTAAAAACCTGTACCAATACCATCGCTATGGTTCAGCTGAACTCAGAAGGCTTATGGGTACTCACATATACCCTAAGGGTCGGTAGGGAGGGTCACTATAATCAAAACTTATGTAGAAAGGAAGG